GGCGGCAATCAAATTTGTTGTCATAGTTACGGACGGCAGAAACCGCTGCAAGCGCTCTGGGACGTCGTCTGTCTGCCCAGCAGCAGACGCTCTGAGAACAATAGGTACGCATGCTCACCACAAAGTGATCGCGCATGAACAAGATAGATGCATATATATATATATATATATAATATATGAATATGGTATACATGTGTTTGTCATATAACATTACATGAAAATGTTTAGTGATGATTGTCATTTTATGCTCAAGGCCTACAGCTACTACTAGCATGCTAACATTCCTTTATTAACTTCTTGTACTAAAGTATAATTAGTACGCTCATGTATGCACTACTTTGTAAAACTGTTTATGCCATATACCTGTTTGTGCCATCACTAAACTATGCTACCATCACAGTATTGTAGATATTTTTTATAACGTATAATGTAACGTACATATGTTTCTGGAAATAAAGGACATTACAAATAAAGAGATCGCGCGTGACCACATGCACGCGTGCTTGCCTCGGGCCGCGGAATGATCAACTATGAAATATAGAAATGAACTAGATCTCTCTATCGTACGAAGACACGTACGTCCAGTATCGGCCAATACCATAATCGTGGCGAATTATTCGCAACGTGACGATTTGCATTCAAATACTATTCAAGAAATTGTAATGTAACACCTACAGGGATCAATAGGGGGTTCAAGCATTATTGCCACCACGGCATTGTTCGTAATTCGATTGCACGAGAATTCAAGAGTCATAGAGAAGCATTTGGCGCGTGCTGCGCGGTTTGTAGATACTAAAATCAATAACGACGCATCGCTCACGAGTACGTAAGCGATTTAATCGAATGTTAGTGACTCCGTGTCGTTTCTGTATTCGCATCAGCCGTAATAATAGGAGCATTTCCATTTCCCGGGCCGCTACGAAAACGTAAAACTACGGATATATGTATTTCGTATATGCGTAATATATACGAAAATACTACGGCTACTGCGTTGTTGTGCCTTTGCGAAAATAGGCATTCGATGTCTGATATCCTGTAGGCGCCACAGTTGTGTTGCACAGCGTTGGATACCAGGTTGATACGGATCAAGCTCGATGCATCGCGTCAAGCAACACTTATGATCAACACAGCGATTACTTTCCTTCGTGCCAGACTCACCACCAGAAGGCAGCTACGCCGCTGCCATACCCAGAATAGGCTTCAAAAGGACGGATGAACTGATCATAAACAGACATACCTGGAGCGTGTGATGTATTCACATAATATGTATTCACATAATAAATTTATTGTGAAATAAACACAACGGACAATGCAGTGGCATCATTCCTCTCTTGTCTTTCACTATCCTATCCGGTCTATTCTTAGGGGAAAACAACTAGCGCCATCTAGTATGGGCAATGTTAATATAATGAAACAATACATTACAGAGCGTATTGGTGGGATTAACGACAGGTGGTTGCTAAAATTCCCAGCCACACTGACAGTAGTTAGTAGTGTGCGTAGCTTTCTTGGGTGATACTCCATTAGGAGTGTTCCCAACTTTAATGTCATTGATGGTTAGGGTTATGTTATAGGTTAGGGTTAGGGTTAGGATTATCAATCATTAATCATTAATCATTAATGATATCAAAGTTGGGAACACTCCTAATGGAGCGTTAGCCGCTTTCTTGCATAATAACTTGCACAGTATTTAATTCGCATGAGCAACGTGGAATTAAATGCATTATATTTCTCTAAACATTAGTGCATGTCATAACTGGATTATATAGTGAGGAATGCAATAGATATTACAAATAGATAAGAATATGTAAGTGAGAATAAGGTAACATATGACACATAGTGTAAAAAGTACGACATTAATGATTTGCTGCAACATTAGCATGCACAGACTAAAACAATTTCTTAGACTCTCGTATCGATTTCAAATGTTTATTATACATGTTTACATCCGTATATAGATTCTGGTTACTAATAAAACATTACACTTATGCAGTACTCGTGTCATTTGCTATAATTTCTTGGTTTTAGTCCTCATTTCAATGCTCACATTTTCCATAAAATTGTAAAGGTCACGCGGTGGTACTTATGAGTTACATACATACACTCAGATGAACACACAATGGAATTGACATTTAAATGGCAGTATAATTTGTCATGATAACTACATAGTGAATGAACAACCTTCACAACCCATAACAGCTATACGTGTAAAAGTTTAGCATGGCAGAACATTTCCACGTGTCAATGATCAAAGGTCCACGAATCCAAAAGCAGTTATATTGTGCGCTGTATCACAGGTCAATGGTGTTGAGTGTGGCTGAAGCTGAGGGCAACACTATATCACCAGGCTCAAATCTCCCCTTTGTTTGCATAGCCTCCTACAAATATACAGCACGTTAGTAGCAGCAGAGATTTGCTTAGAATTCTACTAGACGAGCCCATAGACGAGCCTTTTAGGTAGAATGCGCTCAATTACAAGTCTTTTCATAGTATTCGAGTAAAGACTACCCTAAATATATTCAACACAAGGATTGCCTAACCATAAACTTTCAGCAATAATTAATTTGATACCCCTCTCCACATAATTTATCCCATGTAAATTCTTCACGTAAAATATTCAATGCAGTCGTCCAGACAAGGTTCTCACGTGACGCAACTTTTCCTGTGAAACATTTCACATCCCCGACCCCGCACAATGTGTTTCGCAGCTCGCTTGCACGACTAAATGGAGAGGCAGCACTCACCTTCTGCGTGGCTAGTTGTCGCATCTCCATCTGTAGCTTGCTGAGAATGGCCATGTTCGGTTTGTTCGCTTTCTGTAGTTCAGTAATCGTCTGCTCCTTTTGCTGTGGTAAAAAAAATTGCATTTCGCTGACCTTTTTCTTCGTATATATATATATATATATATATATATATATATATATATATATCCGTATATATATATTTGTCCGTCACCAACTACTAACACACAGACCCCAAATTATCTACCCTACCACACCAATACACACATTTCTGCTTCTATCTTGTCCTTAGATCCTAATGTGCTAGAAACAGTCGTGGAAGATGGAAAGATTACAAAACAGACACGCAGTGCCATCCTTGAACGATGTGGCATGCAGCACGTTATCATTGTGTCACCATACTCTTTAACATTCCCTCAGGGTGCCATCACCTTATACGATTTACAGTAAGCGAAGTCCTTGCGCTACTTTACCTTTTTCTCTTTCAGGGTTTTGCATGACCCCTTGCCGTACAGCCGCAGCAGCGATCCCCAGTTCGAAATAAGCGGATGCATTTTCTGTGAATGACAAACAAGTACATAGCTAGGACACCAATCAGATATATATATATATATATATATATATATATATGTGTATATATTATATATATCACAATAGTAGACACGTGTAAGTCTATAAATCATGAACAGCAGTGTTACTTACCAGCTTAATGGTCCTATCCGTTGCTTAATATCTATAACAATGCATAACAAGTTGTATAATATCCAATGCATAGGGGGACCTTAGCAGATACGTTAAACGCAGGGTGGCGGGAGTAGGACGCATACCTGTAAAATTGCCTGCGCGGCTCTTTGCTTTCCCTCGCGCTTGTTCTTGCATGTGACCTTTGCCGAATGCTTGCCGACGGTCATCGTAAACTCGTTCTTCTGGTGTTGGTTGTTTGTGACCTCGCAAGCGATCGCAGTGTCGCCCATGCCATTGTTTCTGCAATCGGTAACACCGTTCGCACCGTATATATCACTATATATATATATATATATATATATATATATATATTATAATATCTCTATTATCCACTCCTGATAATATATATATATATATGACGTCATGATATGTATCTGATGATATGATATCTCTATTGCTATATCAAATATCTTACTTTAACAGACACCGTAGTGATTCTCTTTGTTTGGAAAGTTAAATATCATAACGTAATATATACGTAAATATAACGAAAGATAAATAACGTAAAATATAACTGGCGCTATAACAGACCAAAAGTCATGTCTTAGATGCTTTGGAGTGCAGTGTTTTACGCGTTAGTTTATGAACAACAGTGAACATGAGAAATGATGTAGCTGGTTAGCTAGTGACAGTACCTAGTAGCTTAACATGCCAACGCGCGCTTTTTCTTAAAGACTCAGGTCACCTTTGCATAACGCTTTGAATTATGTATCAATAAAACATAATCGGCGTGCGAAATGAGGAACGAGGTGAACAATGTCGCACGACTAGAAACAGAATTCAGATTTGCGCAAGCCGCTCTAAGTACGTAACTCCACTGCCGCAAACTCATTACACTAAGTGTCATTAACTTAATCAGCAATGCACGCCTTACGACGCTGGCCCGTTTCAGCAGCAAATTAAAATTCCCCAAAGCTTGCGCACACTAATGATGCGTACTGCGTAGATGTAGGTTGCGGGCCTGGTCAGCGAATTGCGCAATGCGAGAATGTAATTGACACCAACGCTTGCCGCCGTGGGAAGCGGGCGCGTGCCGGCCCAGCGGTAACGCGATTATTACGACTGCAACCTAGCAACATCCTGCCACACATCGTTATAACACGGCCAGGAAGGAGATGAAGCGCAGATCTTATTATAGGGGGCAGGAATGTTAGGTCCCATGAGGACGAGCCTACGGGAAAGTTAGTCAATAGGGTGGGCGCAACCTTCCCCGGCTATTTGCATTACTGACAAATTTGCTCTGACTGTCTGTCATAGTATATGAAACCAAACCTGACGGATCTCTTGTTAAAGCTTCAAATTCGAAATCTTTTTGGGAAGGGTTATTGTTAATCGATAAATTCTGTTTAGTTTATGCTACTTACTAAACTGTGTAGTGCAACATTCACTGGAAATAATTGTAAAAACATGTTTTGAAAGCTATCCGATGATTGCTCGTTTACATCACCGATGGCACTACTATAGCTACATATTATGTGCCTCCCCTCACACATGATAGGGGCCCTCATAGTATGGCTGCCAGAGTCTATGTCTCCCTGGGTACTGCCGGAACGTACCCTGGTACTATCTAATATGCCAGACCGTACCTCGCCTACTCCACTAACGAGTCTATGGAGTCGCCTATGCCTACTCCCTAACCCTAACCCTAACCATATCAGATAGTTACCAGGGTACGTTCCGGTATACCGGACCGTACCCAGGTTACATTCCGGCAGTACCCGGGGAGACATAGACCCTATCAGCCATAGTATGGGACACCTCTGAAATTCACTTTTACACATTTTAGACCCATAGATTGTGATAAAATGAAGTTAAATTGATTGCTAACTATGATTTAACAGAAAAATCCCATTTAGTATGAATACTTTGAACAACCTTACTGACACTAATACTGAACCATAAAATACTGCATCCCTTCTCGTAAATTAGAATGAATTACGAGAAACTGCATGCTGTCCGTACATCAAGCACTGCTAAATACATAAATAGCACTACTCCACCAGGGGCAGCACACTGTAACATTCACGTACAACCGCCAGAACGAATGCAATAATTCATTGCAATAATAAAATTGGATGTTTCACAAGATATCAATGATCGATGTCTAGAAGGTCTGTTATTCGCTAGTCCTATATGTACAGCATACATGTATGTATGCATGTTATGTATTTAGTAATTTATTAAAATTTATTTATGTAATTTATTAGATTTGAATGGAAATACAGCGCCCCAGTTCGATCCAGACTTACCTTTTCAAGCATTCGAGCAGGATGAGGTAAGGACCAACCTGGCCGGCTTTAGTGCACAACTCGTTCACTCTCGGGTCAACAACACGCACCTCATCGAAATACTGCAATGTAGAGATTCAGCAACTTCACAGTTAAATTTCCTTAACACGCGTACGAAAATAGACGAGAGGGTGAGAGAACGAGGGAGAAAAAGAGTACAGGGGAGAGAGAGAGAGAGAGAGAGGGGGCAATAGGGTAGAATGAATTTATAATGTGAGTGTTTAATATGTACATACTAAAATGTTATGGTATTAAAGCAGCATTTCCACGATGCCACATGACATAGTGTTTAATATGTACATACTAAAATCTTATGGTATTAAAGCAGCATTTCCACGATGCCACATAACATAGTGTTTAATATGTGCATACTAAAATGTTTTAATATTAAAGCAGCATTTCCACGATGCCACATAACATAGTGTTTAATATGTGCATACTAAAATGTTATGAGATGCAGATGCGTCACCTGTCATGGGACACACTGAGGGAAGTAGCAGCGGGCCGACGATATTGGAGATCTCTTGTCACTGCCTTATGTGCCATCCAGGCACCCACGAAGGATAACTAACTAAAATGTTATGGTATTAAAACCGCATGTCAGTGATCTCTCACGTGTACTTACAGATAGGTCTGCTTTGGTTGGGTAGCTGTTTGCTCCGGAGTTGCCTTCCTCTATGAATAACTCCTTCATGTCAGGAATCAGAATCTCTAACGTGACTCGAGCTGCGTGCGAGAAGTAGAACACGAGCTGATAAAGTGAATGTTACGCGAACACTCCATTAGATACATGACGATAAAGTGAACGATACATGTGTTACACTTAAAATCTGGCTTTACACACATATAACAGCATTCTCATTGCAGCGAAAATAGCATTACACAGTGTACACTATATCTTATCTTCATACACTGCAATAGTTTTTTTTTTGTCCGAAAAGACTCGGTTTTCAGAGGCATTAGTACCTGCATCAATCTTGGCAGTTTTCTTGCTGCTTCCGAACCCTGTTCCATAGTTTACATCGTCAATCTGAACCATAGCAGAGAACGGCGTCTTTGAGTTCTCTATAAAACATAGTAACCGTGCTAACAATAACGAATGATAAAACCATACTCAAGTTTAATAATTTAAATGAACACGCTGTAATATTTACAATGAGGCACCGATTTCAAGATTAAAACAGGTAGTTACTCTCTTCCCCAATTTAAACTTGATGATGATATGCACTTACACATTATAACACACTCATAAATACTGCAAGAACAGAGAAGACATTCTTACTTTCTGAGGGTTTCAAAAGTTCTATATCAGTGCCAGTTCTGAACATTACCCTACCTATCTCCTTGTACGTGTATTTGGGATGCGTTCGCATTGCCTGCTGCACATACTCGTGTAGAATGCACACTGTCGACTTTCCGGTCGGATTGATCAGAACACAATCTGAAAGTAGAGTGTACTCCCTGGGTGTAGCCACAACCAACATCATCAGCCATATTAGACAGCAGTAGCGTGGTCTCCAATACCTCATCATCATCAACAGTTCAACACCACCATCACAAACATCACCGTGAATGCCTCACAATTTATTCTTTTTTTCCCCATTTATTTATTTAGGCAATTATCCATCATATACAATACATAGCATACTTTTACAATACGTCATAGCATACTTTTACAATACGTCATAGCATACTTTTACAATACGTCATAGCATACTTTTACAATACGTCATAGCATACTTTTACAATACGTCATAGCATACGTCGCTGTCGCACTGGTTACTGCCTACAAAACCTGGCACACGTACCTTTCCTGAGTGCCTTGCTCATGTCCGTACGATCAGCCGGCAGCGGGCAACGGATCAGCTTTAGATCAGCAGGCTGCAAGAAGACCGCAAGCTGCTACGTGACTGCGCACCAACTACGCAGACGACAATATCGAAGAAGCACACTTCCCCTGGATTTTAGCCACCTTCCCTCCCACCTTACATACTAACTTGGGTAGTATACCAAGGGGATCCAGACAACCCAGTGGGTTTTCTGCACGTGATAGTGTTGACACAGGGCAAAGAAGCTCGAAATATAGACGTTAAAAACCGGTTAGGACGTGTGCAAGAAAACTGCTGCCTGGATCAGTCATCAGGTTAACATCCAGTCATCAGTCACTAGCTAGACTGTGAACGGATCACGTCGTCAGTACACTTCCCTAATTATGCTAATTACCAGAGTCGGTCTTGACTGCTGCTTGAGAATTTTTCTGTGTTTACGCTTATCTGCCCAATTTCTGTAACGACATAAGCGTTCACTGTGAATCATACGATGTCGAAACACACATTTCTCAATTCAGCCTTCGAATGACATTCTAATCCCAGATAAAACTTGAACCTGTACACTTGAACATGACATGTATCACACATATAGATGGCAAAATCTGTTCCACAGACCAGATCAAATCAGTATCTTAAATCAGATCAGATCAATCAAAATATAAGAAAAATCAATCGATCAAAAAATCAGATCAATCAGATAAATTGTCGTCAGAGAAATCGGCATCTTGAAATCACACCAATCCTACTTACTTGAATCTTCGCACGGTGATATTTTGAAACTCAAACAGCCGCATGCAGTACTCCCGAAACACAAGTGGATCTGAAATATCACCATGAACAGAAATAACCTGCTCTCATCTTTCACGTTACACCCCATCACATTTCCCAATAGACTTTCGCAGCTTTTCCCAAAATATTGTTATAAATTTCTCGAAAATGTCAGTCACTTTAACAATCTTTCATTAATAACCGTAATCAAATACACAACAAATCTAACAAAGATTTTCATGGATACAAGTCATTGGATGTTTAACATCGAATTAACAACCTAGATATGTACCTCTGAAGCCAAGCATATTCTCACTTGCCATGTATAATCTCACAAGGTCAATAGCGCTAGGTATATTAGTTGTTACAATATAACTAAACATTTTTGCAGGTATAGAATACTGTATATGCTGTATATTTCGCAGTGGTTTAATTTTCGCGAATTTCGCGAAAGCGTTCCCGACCGCGAAAATAACAACACGCTGTTCTTCACCGATTCGGAAATTCACCGACCGCGAAATTAACCACTCGCGAAATCGTCCGTCAAGTCTGAATTCGCAAAAATATCTATACGTGAAAAATATGGCGTATACAATAACCGAGATCATTAACATTCTCACCTATAGACAGTTCTTCTGCACTCTGCAGCTTCACTTGACTTGCTAGCTTTGCTATCTCATCACCAGGTGGCGCACTGTTCTGTGGAACACCATTTTCAGCATTTTCGGGCTGCTGCCCAGTAGACTCTGTCTTCTGCACGGCCTTTTCTCTCTCAAGCTCACGGCGATAATAAAGGCACGGAATGGAAGTGATTGGAAGGTCGTGTTTCTAGAAAAATAAAAATTTCGATACCATTATAACTAGAGTTTACTCCATACATGTTCCTTTTGTTATATTAGTTGAAATCATGGTTTTGCCATGCACTTTACCCTTTTAACCTAATGTATGCATTTGCAATAAAACCAATAATTTTTTATATTAAATTTACCAGTATTTACTGTCTTTACATGATCTCAGTATATGCAGTTATGGACAACAGCCATTAACGGTCTATCTCGTAGTGATGTACGAACAATGTGTGCACATTTTATGCTACGTGGATGACTTTTAGATATTTACTGTTACTTATTAGGCATTTTTGTCCCAACGTTAAATTTCGCATATCCCCGCTAGGTTTACACTTCTGACTACATATGGGCAGAAGATCTGTTTAATTAACATTTACTAACATAGCTAATTATTAATGTTACTCACTCTGGCACTCCCCGGTCCCAAGAAGTACGGCCTGGAGACGGAGCAGACTCGGCTGACCTTGTGTAGGTAGATTGGCATGCCACTGTTGTGGGTCACCTCTACCCAACCCTCCGGTAGCACATTGAACGGGTCCTGCCCTCTTGCTAGAAGCACGAGCGACAAGATCATGTTGTAAAGCTATCTTGAGTGTGAATAAAACGAGAAAACACACGAAAGATTTCGTCCGAGTTCAAATTCGTGAAGCTCTCAAGAGATGATGAAATTCATCCATTTTCTCGTCACTGGGCAAGGTCATCTCTGGAATATGCCAGCGATGACAGCGATGGTGGTCAATTCTAGAGTTTTATGTCCTCAGTGATTGTTTTATGTGACCAATACCAGAAATAGGTCTACTGTTTCATGTCTGAGCCACAAAGGAGAGCTAGAGAGAGCTAGGGTGAGAGTGAGATAGAGAGAGTGAGAGTGAGAGTGAAAGTGAGAGAGATAGAGACAGATGGAAGAGAATAAGAAGGGTGAGCGATGCACATGTCCTTCCACCTCTAATGAATATAGTAGCAAGTCTTTCCACCTCCAGAAAATTCCCCGACTCGGCCAGTGTCTGCAACCTCGCAGTTTTTGACGTGAAAAATCGTCACATTGCCCACCACCACTGACCTTACCACCAAGGCATCTCTATCACACAGCTGCCTCGTTGGCTCGGAGGTCAGTAACAGGGCGCGAAATCAACACCGGCCCATGCTGGCAAATTATTTGGAGGGCCGGTAACATTGGCAAAACACCAGCCCTCCGAGCCGGTGGTTTCAGTTACCGAGTACCTACATTTTTATTTTTATTATAGCATTAATGAGCAAATAGCCTACATTACTATTTTACCTGAAGAATATCACGCCATAATTTATCAACATTTTACACATTTGAAATCGAAAATGCAAGCGTGAAACATGACATTGATTTTACAAACAAAATTTATGAGGGCTGGTAAATAATGGTGAGGGCTGGTAAGAAATTGCTGTTACCAGCCCTCTCAGCCGGTGTGCAAAAATCTGAATTTCGTGCCCTGAGTAAGGATCTACAACGCATCTCGAGGGTGCGCGGCTTATGCCCGGCGCACACGTGAGTTATTTTACTCAAGTAAAATGGCGCATGAGTCATTTTATTCACGTGTGCGGCAGATTTTCGTTGAGTAATTTGACGCATGCGTCATTTCACTCACGTGTGCAGCGGATTTTCGTCGAGTAATTTGACTCATGCGTCATTTTACCTGAGTAAAATAACTCACGTGTGCGCCGGGCTTTAAACCGGACACACAGCGAGCGAGTACGACCGCTTCCCCATGCTTCCGTACAATCACATTGCTGGTCACATTGCTCACCACCACTGACATAACGACAGAACCAGCGAGGCATCTCTACCACAGAGCTGCCTCTTTACTTTGTAACGTATCTCAAGGGGGTACGCGCCTCGAGCCCGGCGTACTGTGTACGACTGCGCCTCCGCAACCTCACTCACGCTTCAGTACAATCTTCTCGCGCTGCTCGTGGTCGGGGACGCCGCCATCTTTGCTCCGCGACTTCTCGTAGCCTTCCATGCCGGCGTCCAGCATCGCTTCGATCTCATCCTCATCCAGAGAATCGCCGTCGGTGACCGACCTGCAACGATCGAGGGTAGCAGTGCATGGGGAACACCGACCATGTCAAACTCTGACACTCGGCTGTATTTCGCCCTCCGTCACTTCTATTTATTTAGTTTCATTTGTTTAAAATCATCAGCATTGTCAATTAATTTGTTTAACTAATATGATACCTAAAGCCTTTCGAACTCGAGAATATATTTATTCCACATAGAAGGCCGTCAACCATTAGCTGCATGTACATATAACTTTTCAACTCTGATACCGAGAACATATTCGTTCCGCATAGAAGGACCGTCGACCACTGGCTGCATACACATACCGAAGGCATGCTACGCGAATTCAAGTAATGCGACATGACCACGCTAGCGCTGAGCCGTAAAATAAAATGGCGGTTTTCGTCGTCGAAAATCGCGCCTGTCGCAGGAAGTCTGCACTGGTCATAAAGGGACCGTCAACCATTTGGCTGCATACACGTACCGAAGGCATGCTACGCGAATTCAAATAATGCGACATGACCACGCTAGCGCTCAGCCGTGAATGAAATGGCGGTTTTCGTCGACGAAAATCGCGCAGGAAGTCGGCGCGCCCGCGCTCCCCGTCTACGCACATACCCGTCATCCAGTTCGCCTGTCGACAGGTCGTCGTCGTCATCGTCGTCGTCCGCTTCGTCGAGGATGTGCAGCTCAAAATTATCGGCCTTCTTCGAGAAGAAATCCTGATCGCCGACTCGCACCCTCTTCGCGGGCGGGCCGTCGATACCGCCCGGCTCCCCGTCCGCACTGCCCTCGTCAAAGTCCAGTGGCCGACAAGAATCACTGGACATTTGTTCTGGCAGTGGTGGGGAGGGCGGCGCCGGAGGAACTTGGCAGTCTTCTTCCGGCGGAAGCGGCGGCGGGCCGGACGGCAGACTATCGCTACTTTCCATGTTATATTACTACAGAGTACGGTTCAGTGCGACACTGTGTAATTTAAGCGAATTTATAACCGCGATAACCGCCGTCGAATTCGAGCGGTTTTTGCTGTGTAGTTCCTATACTGCTGGTCGCTGCGGCAACAAAGAAAAGCAATGAAGAGCAGACGCTTACATCCACGTCGTAGTAGCTACACTGACAAATGCACCAGTGAAGTAAAGGTTTTTTCCCAAACAAAGCCTTCCAACTGCACTTTTGCATCACAGTGGGCCACTCTGCAGAGGAACGACGGAGCAGTCAGTGCAAGCAGCCAGGGACACCCATCAGCCACCTCTGCTTTGTTAGATATCTTGTTTTGAATGCACCTAACAAACCAGATGTTTCGCGAATGGTACCGCTATGCTTATACACGGCATTTGGAAAATATCAAGCCAGGAATCTCCACTCCACTCCAGGACCAAACAATCATACCACTCAGAATTAGCTTCGCAGATAAAACCTACTTCTAGGCTTACACATAAAGGCCCGCTTATGTCGGCCTTACGACCTAGTCGCCGACAAGATTTGAATATCGTACGTCAAAAACCGGCCAGATCGCCGATAAAATCCCCAGGATGTCTTTACCTAGCTAGTTAATGGGCAAGTAACCAACCCCACGGATCACAGAGAACGGCTATCTTTCTACTGTCTGTTTCGATACATAATATTATATGCAAATGGCTAATATATGTGATCAACTATAATAGTGCCCCATACGTGCTGTGCATAACTTAAAGGGCGCGATCTCATTGGCCCTCTACCACATCAGCATGTACGTGGTTCTTTGACTAGGAAAAAAATCGAGCAGCACGACACTCTCAACTAGTTTGGCGTGGCCGGAATGCTCTGATTGATCTGTAATGTGTGATTGTAATTATGATAAATTTAGTGTGGCCGTCCAGCTAGTTCTAGAGCGAGGTCACATCCAGAATATGCATTTCAATGTGGAGCAAATGATTGCTGCAAGTGTGGTGGCTGGTGTAATGCACTGCTGCTCGATATATTTGTTTGAAACATCGGCAGAATCTAAGGCTCAATGTCAACCAACGGTACACTAGAGAATACCTATACATTCCATTGATTGGTGGTATAATATTTGATAAAAGCATCGGTAGAGTGTAGGATAACAGCCCAGGTCGATGCAATAACATAGCGAAGTAGGTAATAATTGCAGTTGATTCCGATATGCCTTCCTTGCTTGTCCTATAAGGACCCGTCCTTCGAATGCTTCTGTAAGATACTGGTCACAAGAGCAGCATCGTCGTGTTGTCAATGCTCTTGTGCACATCGGTTATGGCCTGTAATTTGCGTGTTATGCAAATGCTTCTTGCGTGCAAAATATGCTTGCTCCCAGTACCGATTGTGTAGAACTGTGCTATGGTAGTCTGTGGCAAACTTCGAACTCTTGCCACAAACTTGGATTTCAGGCACATGCCCCAGCTTTGGGCAACCATATCTTGAGATTAGGGCAAACAGAGCCTAACATGCAACTTGCGCCCACAAACATCATGATTATTAGGATTTCAAGATGTCCATATATCATAACGATTATAATTATAAGGTCGTCTATAATACCTCTTTCCTCAATGTGTTTGCACCTTTGTATAAATAGTTAAATGATTATGAATAAAATAATTCGCGATAAATCAGAGGATAAATATTTCCGCCTAGTGCACCACGACACACCACACACTCACTCCATGATAGCGGTTTTTTGAATCACGACTGTTTCCTCGGTTTGCCAATCTTTGAGCATTGGCTCAGCCAAACTCATGGAATACCGCCAGCTTTGCGAGGCACAATCAGTGCAACATCTCCGAGATTGTGCAATTCCAAAGTTTGCAGATTCCGCGTGTGACAACGATGAACAATAGCCGTCAGTTTCAGGCCATCGGCCTCTCATCTTGCCTCTTTTGCCCCAATACCATCATCCTTGTCGATCTATTTAGCTAGCTATCTGTTTGGGAATTTCTTCCTATCTACACCATCTCTATTGATCCATCTCTTACTTATCTATCTGTTTTGTCCGATCTATCGTATCTATCATCATATCCCAGCCCATCCACTCCATCCACTCCAGTCCGATCATCCTATCCATCCAACTATGCATCGTTCCATACCGCTCCCTCCGTCCGTCCGTCCGTCTGTCCATC